GAAGAATAGGAATAATATGTCTAAAACTTGGGAAGTTATTAATGATTTATTAGGAAAGAGAAGAAAATGCCAATTTCCTAATTATTTTCTTAAAGATAAGGACAAGTTAACTGATCGTCAATTGATTGTGAATGAATTTAATTCTTATTTTTCTAGTATTGCTACAAAACTAAAATCTCAACATATTCAGAAACCGAAATGCAATTTTAGTTCATTTTTACGAGATCCTTGTAGCAAATCAATATTTTTTCATCCTACCAATGTAACAGAAGTTTTGAATATTGTCAAATTGCTCAATTCAACCAAGAGCACAGATTTTGAAGGAATAAGTCAGTTCATTATAAAACATGTTATACATTTCATTGTCAAACCTATTGTTTTTATATGTAATCTTTCCTTCTTGTCAGGAAGAGTTCCCAAGAATTTTAAAGTAGGAAAAATCATACCCATATTTAAAAAAGGTGATCCCCACATATTCTCTAACTATCGACCAATAAAATTACTCCCCTGTTTTTCTAAGATACTGGAGAAATTAATTTATAATAGGCTCTTTAATCATATTAATAAAAATAATCTTCTGACTGTTTCTCAATATGGTTTTAGAAAAAACTCATCATGTGGACATGCTCTAATTGACCTTCATGATTACATACTCAATAAATTAGATAATAAATTGCATACATTAGGCTTGTTTCTTGATTTGTCGAAAGCTTTCGATGTTATTAACCATGATATTCTCCTCACTAAATTAAAACATTTTGGTATACGCGGTATTGCTTGGGAATGGTTCAGGGACTATTTAAGTGATCGTATTCAATTCACATCATACAACAGCTTTATTTCTTACAGAGAGAGGATCCAGTATGGAGTCCCACAGGGCTCCATGCTGGGTCCTCTCCTATTTTTAATTTACATAAATGACCTTAGTTCTGCTTCATCTTTTTTTCATTTTGTCTTATTTGCTGACGACACAAACCTGATTGCATCTCATAATGATTTTGATAAATTAATGTCAGAAGTAAATAAAGAATTAGAAAAGGTTGTTGAATGGTTTAATGCTAATGAATTGATTATAAATTATGACAAAACAAGTGTACTTTATTTTCATAATAAAACTAATCCTTGCAATATTAATGATGTACAAATATTTATAAACAATATAAATTTAAACGTGTCCTCTTCTGTTAAATTTCTTGGTATCCTTTTGGATGATACTTTATCTTTTCAGGATCATCGATTGTATATAACTAACAAAATATCTAAAAACATTGGTGTTCTTTGTAAATTACGTGTATTTCTGCCTGAAAAAGTATTGTTTATGTTGTATAATTGTTTAATTTTGCCTTACTTACATTACTGTAATATCACCTGGGCCGGTGTGGGAACAACTAAACTAGAACCTCTCCATAAACTTCAAAAGAAAGCTTTAAGAATTTGTACAAACTCCCATTATCAAGCTCATTCACGTCCCCTGTTTTTTCGCTTAAGAACACTCAATATTTATGATATACATAAAATTCAAAGTGCTATTATGATGTATAATGTTTATAATAATTATGTACCTAAAAGAGTTTGTCAAATGTTTATCCTTAATAAATCTGTTCATTCGTATAATACTCGTTCCTGTATCAAATATCATTATCCAAAGGTCTCTACCCAGTTAATGCTTTACTCTTTTAGACATAATGGTCCCCGGATTTGGAATGATTTAACTGATAAGCTAACATTATGCACAACTATATCATCCTTTAAAGTTCTATTGAAGAGACAGTTGGTCTCTTCTTATTTCCCTTAACTCTTTCTTTTTCTTGCAATGTACCATGCATGTGTGTGCGTGTGTGTGTGTGTGTGTATCTATAATGTGTAGTATATTATTTATATATTGTTATTATTGTCGTAACGTATACAACCATGTAATCTCGTTATTTATTATTTATGTCAGGGGACTATTTTACTTTCAAGTTTTTCAAACTTCCTTTTTAGTCTCCAATTTCTTAATTCCAATATTATAAGATTATGATTGTTTCATGTTACTTTTGTATATATATTATGTTATGGTTTTATGATTGAAATAAATGAACTGAACTGAACTGAACATTCTCCACTCGATGAGGGTGTTAAAGTGATTCGCCGAGATGCTAATCCAACCACAATGACGTTCGCAACATACTAGGTACCCATTAACATATGGGTGGAGAGGAGCCATGTAGGTACACTTGTTAAATTTTCATTCATTTATCTGAAATGACATGTCATTTTACTAAACCCTTCTAAATATGAAATACGTACGGCTGATATCAATGCTCAATCCGGTGATTTCGGATAGATCGTTGTCACTGTATACAGTCTCCGTGCTTCCAGATCCATCGAGCCGTTTGCGCTGGATATTGTATTTCATTGACCAATACAAGAATCTGTAAAATAAAGTGTGTCCTGTCATATAATATCAACGTGAACATAATCAGAGATTAACGTGTTATTGAAAGCGAAGGGGGAGGGGACATTTTTGGAAAAGGGGCTCCTACAAAAACCTCATGGAAAAGAATATTATCATTACGTACGGATGTTTTATAAACCTCCATATTGGTTGAATTCATTATCTTTTTTATGACTTGATTGGTGTGCCCAACTTCAAAGAGCATTTGTTTTCTGTCCAACGATCCCATATTCATAATATTTCTGCAACGGGTGACTGAGCACCAGAATCTGGAAAAATCTTGTCAAAATTGCTCTGTACCAATGTTGGGCTGATGGAATGAATGTGGATCAGGCCATATGCATGTGCTTCTTTGGTCTTAAATCCTTTTAAACATTAAATTTTGCCTCTTCATTCAGTGCATCTGGGTTTTCACAGAACCTCGATTCAATCTATAGGATAACCTTTAATTATTTTGAACAGCCTACTAACTTCTTGTTTCATGATATCGGAGTTCTCTCTACTCGCTTGTCCGCTGCACCATTTCACACGCGTAAGGAGTATATGAGATGTTTATCTCAAATAGAGAATGAAAACTCAAAAGTTACTAAACGCAAATGCAAGAAAGAACACATATAATAATAATAATAATAATAACAATAATAATAATAATAATAATAATAATAATAATAATAATAATAATAATAATAATAATAATACTAATACTAATACTAATACTAATACTAATACTACTACTACTACTTCTACTACTACTACTACTAATAATAGGCATTTCTATAGCGCCGTCTATCTAGAAATTCTATTCTGAGGCGCATTTATTATTAACCCGTCTTTATAGCCTAGCTGCCATTACAGCGCTCTAGCATTTCAAGGAATTAATTACTGCCAGGTGATGATAGGTATTATAGAAATTGACTGTAGACTTTCATTACAACAAAATTACATCTCAAATGAACTTTTCCATTTTGAATCACTCAGTGAGTAGGGTTACCTTAAACAAGGGATGCAAATGAAGTCAAGATTGTAATCAATATAACAAAGAGATTGTCATACATTTTGCTGTAATAAGCATTTCCTTGAGTTTTTTTCTTTTCAACTGCCCAATAGGCAATAGTCATTGTAAATAAGTGCGTAATTTTTTTTTTAATGAGAAAGCACGCACATATTAATGGCTTTTTACCCACATTCATTGCTTTTAATAGCCAAAACTTGGTACAAAATGATTTTGACAATACTTGTTTAAAAGCCTGCTGCTCAGTCATCTGGCGCAGCAACTTTATGAATATGGTATCATTAGACAGGGTATGGGTTTAATGCTCTTTACAATGTAATGTGATTCACATAGGTTATAACTTTTTATCGAAGTTAGGTACACTTTATTTGATACGCATTGTATATTGACATCTTCCTGGACACAAGTGGCTGGTAATATAAGTATTTGAGAGCGAGCAACAACAAAAAAGAGAGAGGGAGAGACTTTAATAGCCGACGGCCCCGGTGCCTTCTAAAAAAATTATCTAATTCGTCAAGTGGCTCTATACGCATATACATATTGATTCATGTATACCATCTTCTGTTTTCCTGATGTGGCTGTTGTAATGTTTTTAATTATTAATTACCTTGATTACATGCAAGTTTGCAGCAGAAAATTATAAGGAAAAAGACGATATTTACCCTGTTTTTACTTCTGTCCCCTCTCCCAATAGGACAAATGCCCCCTCCACCCAGGGCACCCGCTTTATCATGAATGGATTAATACTAATAAGGGGAAAGGGGCATGTGCTCATTTTGATGGGGCACACTTTGGTTGCTGGACGGGCACTTTTTTTGGTTTTTAATCTTATTAGTGGGGGCATGCATGTCCTCCCTCCGGGGTTCTAGCGCTGCTGGTGGACCTTTAAACGATTCAGCTGGCATGGAGACTGCTCGTTGGTCTTGAAATGTTTATCTATTCCTATTTCATCAAATAATGCCCAAAACACCGAGCATTTTTGCGTCCGCAATAACTTAAAGATTTTAATTTCGTGACTTGTATCAGCGGTAAGGTCAAAATCATATTTTAACGTGATTGACAATGAACATAACACGTATACTAATCTATACTTATACATTTCTGATTCAAAGTTTTGTTCAACCAAATGGTACGTGTTATGTTTACGTTCGCTCTATTGAACAATGAATAATACTTCCATATGATGGGAGGGGTGGTGGGAAATGATCTTACAAAACATGATAAAGTGTCATACCGGATTGTAATAGTAAGTTAATAATAAGTTAATAATTTGTGTTTTATTTCGTTTTCTGAACTTACTTGTATCAAAATACCTTGTTTAGCTGTAAGGGGTTAGGCTCGACTAGCACATGTGCTATTATCCGACGCCTTTTACCAACCAATAGTGTCCCATCTTGTATAATAGGTAAATATCATTCTATGAAATGTATTACTGCATTGCTGTTGGTAAATAAATCAAATAAATCAAATCAAGTGACATAAAATATCTCTATTATTCTTCTGGTATGAAGAAAAAATGACATTTTATATCATGGATACTCCATGATAGACTCACCCTTCCTCTTCATCCACTTCTAAGGAATATAGCTCTTCAGATAACCAGGATACAAAGTTCATCACGGCCCTAGGAAACGAGTCTCCTTGTGCAATCGATACCGATGTTATTTTCTTCGTACCTTTATTCGCGATGTAGAGAGTGCGAGATGTCTCGGCTATAGCAATTCCTCGTAGTTCTGTGATTTAATTTATACAAAAAAACTTTGTCGGAACTAGGGAGGCGGGACCTCTTTACAAATGAAATAATACAAATTAGTAGAAATAATAATTAGTAGAAATAAGGAGAACAGTATTCACCCCATAATAGCAAGGAGGTCTTTAAATGACATTTTTGTTTAAAGTTCTATTCAGTGAAAACGTTAACAACCGTCAACTTGATGGTATATGAACATGTGCATTTACTTAGTTTTTTTTTTAAACAAAAGCTGTGCAGCCTTACATTTCCAATACGGAAAATCTGTCAGTGTATAGGCTCTATCTATGCAATAAGAATGACTTAGCGACAAAACCACAATTGTGTTTGGATTGTAAAACAAGATCAGACTCTGTTACACATCATTCCTCAAAAATATTGATAGAGTGCATACGATCATATATATTAAGATTTATGTTTATACGACTACGTGAATACATCATACCAATACTGCTTCCAGAAGTGACCTCCTCCCTGTTTGCACCATCCACATCAGCACGATAAACTCGTTTTGTATCCTCGTCAGTCCAGTAGATCTTCTTCTCCACGGAGTCATATGTAATATAACGTGGTTTATTAGTGGATGGTATTGAAGTGAAGTCTAGGTCACCTTGTAGATCTGCAACAAAAATCACGTCTTCATCTGTCACAAAGATCTTCGCAGTCGATGCTAAAACAAATGGGTGAAAAGAAGGTAATTATATTCCACAAAGTTTTGATAATGTATCACTTAAAAATGATTAACTGTTTAGATCCGTATCGATGGATCTAATAGGCAAATCAATTATTCAAAGAATATAGTTATGTTAAGATTGCTCTCTTCAGAACCGGTAACATAATGGCTCTGTTCTCACCCAAGGTCTATAGTCCTATGTTGCTAGAGGTTTTTCGTCTACATCTAAAAGATTTTTTTTCTGCCAATGTTATAACTTTTATTTTAATGGTTTCAGCCTATATTAGGCTAATTCTTCGTCTTACTTGTATTCTCAAATTCAAATTCAAAAGAGTAAAGGCCACCGCACACTTTACGATAATTCAGTGTTTTGATTTCGAAAAAGACAATATACACGTATTAATAATAATAATAATAATAAAAACGTTACTTATAAAGCGTTTATCACCGAAATCTCTAAGCGCATGATACACATGATCAGACGCGTGAGCAGGGGGGGGGGGGGTTGGGGTTTAACTCCCCCTTGATTTTTGTTTGCGTGTATGTTTTATGTATGTTTTTGGTAACCCCCCCCCCCTTTGAGATTTTTTTTCTTACCCCCCCCCCCCCCCCCCCCCCCCCCCCTCCCCCCCCCCCCCCCCCCCCCCCCCCCCCCCCCCCACTGAGCGACTTTTCGGCCGGCGCGATTTACAAATTTTCCGGAGCAAAATAATAAAGCTTAGTCGTTGCGAAATTTTGGGCCCGATTTTAAACCCCCCCCCCTTAAAAAAATCCTGCGTACGCCACTGCACATGATATCTTAGCAGACATCATAATATTATTTCTGATTTAGGTACAAATGATGATAAGAATACTAACAACAAGAAATTTAGTATACATTTGAGCATTCTCGTCAGAATAAAGGCCTCATCCGCTTTAAATCGTAGACAATCGCACTTCTAGTCTGACGTCACTATGATTCTGAGCTTTTCTTCCGAAGATGAATCTTGACATTCTTTGATAGTTATATTTAATGCATCATTAATTTTATGGACAATGGCCAGTACTTCAATGAATAATGGCCTGATCACGAAATACTGCTCCTTCAATTATGAATAACAATACTAATGTACACATCAGTACAATATGTCGTTCTTCGTTCTTAAGGGCTGGTAACGAGATCATCTATTAAAGGTACACCCTAAAGTCACATTCCATCTATGTTAAAGATAAACTTTAGTACTGGTAATGCGATTGCATTGTGAAAGAAAAGGTGTGGAAAGGATCAGAAACAGTTGATCATGTAGCATGTAAGTATTGGTGTGCACTGCAAGGTTCTGGAGTCATCAAAATCATAATAAATTTGACCGAGTCTTGGTAAAGTAACAAGCACTCACATAGAAAGCTATATATGGGACAACACACATGGTGTCGGGGCTAGTACTACCTTGATTTCCTTGTCTTTCTATGCTCATTACTCAGCCAGTATACATTTTCTTCCAAAATTGTTTGGCACATGTCATTTATTTGTAATCTTGAACATCCAGTGTAAGTTTCGTTTGATTCTGTGAGAATTAATTAATTTTTTTTTACCAGTACTGGAGTTTATCTTTAATGCTGATATACAATACCTTGACAAAGCGTATATA